TGTATATATATAAAACTATATATGCATAGAAACCAAAATTTGTGTATATATATATAACTATATATATATACGAAGAACCTAATAAAATGTGTGTGTATATTATATTGAGCTTAGAGTATCTAACACACATAATATAACACTTAAACTAAAGTTACCCAAGCAATGATCTTGATCTTCATTGTAGCTCAACTTGGTACACGTTGCGGATGAAGCTTGAACTTGGTCTTTAACTTGAATTGTATGTTGCTTCACTCCACAATTCCGCCAACCTCCTCTTGATATGATCGTGTATGCTAAATCCATCCAACCTCCAACAACGTTGTTTGTCTACAATATATAAGAATGTACAAACACTAGACAAACAACATTAGTAGTAAATTGTTTGTTAAACATCATCAAAACAAAGAGGCCAACAAAAGTAACATTATTTAACGCGACAGAAATTCTTATTGGATGCATACCAGAAGAATTTATTACAGAGAAAAAAGAGATAACTCCTAACATTTAAAAAAAAATAGAAACACAAAATTTTCATATATATGAAATTAACATTTAGTCTCATTGAAACACAAAAATAATTAATGTCTGTATTTCTAGATTTTTTGTTGAACATCAAAAATGCATTCAACTTCTTTGGGAAGTAAGACGAGAAGACAAAACATGATCGAGCTCAGGAAAAATAATTACACAAGAAATCTAGCTCCGGCCTGATGTCGTAATCGATATAGATGATGAAGACACAACTCTAGAATTGCTCAAGGAAAAGATAAATGTGGAGAATGATTGATCTTAACTAAAAAAATAAAACAAAAAGAATAAAGTTTTATTTTTTGAATATTTTATATAGAATAACTTAATTTTTATGGAAAATCATGAATCTTTAGAAAATATTTTCATGAACTCTTTTAAATATTTTTATATGGTTATGTGGATGCTTTTATCATATAAAATATACTAGAGTTAGCAATAATATTTAGTCAATAATTTTTTCTGAAGTCTATCAATTAATTAGCAACAAACTTTATATTCTCATTAGTTTCATTTTAGCTCACTTTTAATTAATCATTTTGGTTTTTTAGCTTTAATTATTCATCTTTCTTTTATAACACTACTTTTTTAAAGTGTTTTTCACTTTTACAATATTTATACTTTCAAGCTTGGTTTCATGTCGGCCCAAATCACGTGAAAATTCAAATTGGCTTTAGATTACATTTGTATCCTATCAATTTAATTATCAACATAAAAATTTAAACTATGGTGTAGCCTATTCAAACAAATATCAAAGAAAATAAATAATCACAATGCTAAAATTTAAAGGCATAAGTGAGCAAAAACGATTAAAGTGGAACGGAGGGACAAATTTTAGTAGGAAATAAATTAAAAATATTTACTCATGATTTTTAATCACGTGTATTGCACGTGCATAAAACCTAGTCATACTCTCTTTAAAAGTACGAGTTTAAAAAAATCTTTTCATAGTTAATATTATCCTTAACTTTTTTTAATATTATATTGTTATTCTAATCTATTCTAATTATCCTATATTCTTTGAATTGGTTATTAAATGATTTATCCTATTCATAATTTTACTTATTTCAATTTAGCGAGAAATCTAAAAAACATATGATAGCTAAAAACTAAAAAAAATTTACTTTGGAGAAAATATATTGTAAATTTTGAAAATTACAAAAACACCCTTAAAAATTTAAAATTTATAAAAAACATCTTAAAAATTTAAAACCTATAAACACACTAAAAACCTACAAATAACACAAACAACTTCTAAAAAATTATGATATTTGTAATAAACACTCTGAACTTTTACAAATCGCAAAATAAAACCCTCAAAATTATAAAATTTACAAAAAACTTGATAATTTCTAGCAAAATAGTATATTGAAATTATAAGAATTATAAATATCCCCTACATAATTTATAATTTATAGAAAACACTCTTAAAAATTCAAAAATTATAAACAAACACTCAGAATTCAAACTTTACAAAAAAATACCCTGAGAATTTCAAACTCATTAGTAAATTAAAAACATAGGAATTATAAATAGCCTATAAATAATTTACAATCTATAGAAAAGGCCTATAAGTCTAAAATTATAAAAAAAAACCTAAAATTCATAATTTACGAAAAATACCATGAAATTTTCTAACCTATAGACACTAAAATGAATATAGAAATTACTAACAACCACTAGAAAATTAAAAATTTATAAAAAATATCATACTCCCTTTAAAAGTATAAGTTCAGGAAAAACTTTTTATGGTCAATATTAGCCATAACATTTTTGAAAAGAATATAACTAATTAAAAAATCTATTAAATTTAAAATTTATAACAAAAGCCTTAAAGTTTAGTACATTGCAAATTACCCCTCCAAAATTTAAAAATTTTCAATTGTTGTTTGTGATTCATTGATTTTAATGTAATGTTTAATAGTTTTGCATATTTTTAAATTACAAAATTTAGGGTATTTTTCTATAATTTTTAAAACTTTTAAGGGTATTTTTTGTAGTTTTCTAAATTTTTATTGTGTTTTTAGTGTAATGCATAGATAAGTCAATTAATGATGATATTGAAGAGCAATCCGTTCTTAAAATGTACTAGGCCATAGTCAAATGTGCACATCACTATTCCTAGGCAGTACAATTTATATATGCAAATTTTTTTTTGAAAATCTATATAGTGCTTAAAAGGATTTTGACTTTAATGTACTATTTTTTCTAAATTGTACTTAATGTGAACCCACATATAACTTTGACCATGGTCATCATAATTTTAATATGTTTGATTGATTGCTTATATATGTATATAGACCATAAATTACTTTACTTTCTCGCATGAACTAATATTTGGCGCTTAATAATTTAAATTATTACTTTTAAATTTGATATAAAGAGGAGCTCTAATAACGTTTATTTATTAACCTACAGGATAATACAAATCCCAATTCCTATTTTTTACTTGAGATTTATTCCAAAGTTATGCATATTAAATTAGTAATTAAAATAATAATTATTCATGCTTAAATTAGGATGATTGTAGTTTGTCACTCACTATGGAATTTTCATAAAGATATATACATTACTTCCTATAGCTATCTGTAATGCCCATTTATATTTTATAAATTAGTTGTTAATTTGATATATTAGATTACTTTTCATTTGTAGAAATTTATTCTTTGACTTTTAGATTGCTTAATCACTATATCATCATTCTAGCGTAGAAAGAACCTCAATCTAAATGACTTCAAGTCAATGTTTGAGTTGAACTAAAGTATATACTATTGCTACTACGTGTATATATTTTTTAAGAAAATCATGTTAATACTTTTTAAACAGAAAAGTATATTCTAACCTTTGATTTTATAATAACTAAATATAGCCAATTGAGTGATTAACAAAAAAGAACTTACATCAGAAAAGCGTGAATAATAAGATAAAGATGAAATGTAATGACATTGCAAACAGTACTACTAATAGCAAACTACAATGTAAGGTTAACCTATTTTGTGGAGTCCAACTACTAGCCATAAGCATCCAGGTTTTCATATATATACTTTATAATTTATTAAAAAGGATCATATAATATTATATAATAAAATTGGTTTAATAATGAATAGTAATCTTATTATAATAATATCGTTATTAGAGAAAAATTTTCATAAACCAGTATGTTCTTTACGATACATAAGCTATGCACTCTAAATTCTTGTGTCTTTTATAGAGTCAAAAGGTTTGAATATGAGCCTCTAACATTTTGCTCTCACAACAACGAAATTAACTTAGTAGATGTTGATATTCTAGATGAGTTATATGCCCTATGTATAATACAATTTCCCTAGGAAAGTGATTAATAATAGCATTTTTCATTAGTATTATTTGGGATAAGATTTAATAGGGATCTTGCATCAAAGAAAAAAGAATTTTTTATATTTAGAGCACATGACGAAATATATCATAATCTTTCTGCTCTAATTTTACAAGAAAATAATTATTTATATTTTTAGTTTTACTTCAATGATACGGAGAATGAGCTATAAAATTAAAAGAGAATATTAGATAATGTGAATATGAGTGAAAGTTAATGTGAATATGAGCCAAACCACAAATAAAAGTTTAATGGACATATTGCAAGTAAATTTATGTGCAAAATTCCTTTGCGAATTGAATGATCAGCCATCTTTTGAAGACTTCAAGATACTAATAAACATAGATGTTGTACTAAATCATTGTGTTTATAACTCACAAATAGTAGATCACATGGTCACAACCTCGGTTGAAGGAATCAATAACAATATTTTATTTAAGAGAGATATTATTGAGTTGATGATCAATCCCACAAAAACTGTATTTTTTTTTATTTTTTTTTAATTTAAATAATCATGATATTCAACTACGTGCATTGCACGTGCATGTTAACTAGTATAAATATAAAAGCTCCGACAAACAAAATACAAATCCCAAATAATACGTACACTAATGCTGTGAGATTTTTTTCCGAAAATATAGAATATGATTAGTTATAATATGTATGAATACGTCAGAGATCAAAATCAAAGAGACAGTGACTCCCTTGTCATGGTGTTATACATAAAGTGTTATTTTATGCGCATAAATTTACATTTCATCTGTTTAGTCTACTATTTTCATACTTTTTTCTATAAAAGTAAGGACAGCAGTCATTTTTTTAAAGAGTAACATTGAAAAAAAAGGAAAACAGAGGGATATTCTAATCTCCGAGTTTTTTTTGTCTTAAAAATATTCATTTAAATTTTTTTTCTCAGAAAAGGATATTATGCTTATTTCTACAATTTTATTTTTTTACACAGGGGTCATTCATAAAATAAGCAAATCATTTTCCGGGGCTAAAATCTGTTGAGAAAATATTTCTAAAATCCTAACCACCCACGTGTGCTATCAAAATGCGAGCAATTTCTTCATTCTAAAAACAAATTCAAAACAAAAATTCCCTTCATCAGACCAATTATTATTATTTTAAGTCTATATCAGTTGGATCTCACAAAAAATTTCCTCCTTTAATTCTCTCAATGCTATAAATACTTCAGTCGCTCGTTCTGCTCATCAGTAGGTAAACAATGGAGATGTCCCTGCAACCAAAGAGCTCTCTCTTTGGGACCTACCTCGGGATCAAGCCAGCCCTTACTCCTTCCTTCTCTAAAGTAAAATTCCCATCTTTTTGAGCAATTTTTATGATAAAGTTTGGCTCCATTTCTTTATAACTTTCTAATTCCTCTCTGGGTATTTTTATGATTGCGTTTCACTCTAGTTTTATCCCGTAAAGGTTTCGCCTTTGTGGAGATTTGTGGTTCTGAAGTCGCCCACTTGCTAAAAGTTGCTCCTTTTTTTGCTGATATGGAGTATAATTCTGTATATTCCTTGGTTTTTTTGGCTGCTGGGATTTCTTAATTCACTAATAACTTTCTATGCTATGAATTGTACTCAATCTTTACGTTTAATTGTAGATATTGGGTTGCCTTACCACAATTCTGTGATGGGGACAGAGCCCGGTATTGAAAAGTAATGTATTGAATAAAGGGGATCGGAAACCCATACTATTAATAGTAGTAATGTAAGGTGCACCAAGCAGTAATACAAGAGGAGAAGAGGTGGGAGAGAAAAGTATATACAACAGAATCATGGAGAGAAGATGAGGTGCAACAATGGCCTAAATAGAAGCTAAAGGTGAAACTATGCGAAAAAGCTGATCCGATTTGGTTTATTTTCTGGATCGAAGATGCTTTTTTTTTCTTCCTCATGCTGTAGGAATCAGCAAATGTAATGTATTGGCCCGAGTACTCGAGAACCTCTCTCTCTGTGTTTTGGTCACTCCATTCTCTCAGAGATCCATGGTAGTAGCAAGGAGATTGATTGTGCGTAGTAGAATTTGATGTAAATTATATTTATTTGTTTCTGCATATGTCATACTTTTATTTGAAACTTTCAGTATTACCTCCCAGAATAACTTATGTATGAGTTATTGAGTCGTGTGAGTAAAATCAAACGATTATGTTGGGTATTATTGTTGCATATCACTCTCTTATTTTGTTGGTTCTATAGTAGGTTGCATGTCCTTTGTAGTTTTAGGGGTTCTGTAGTTATCCTCTCATGTGAAAATATTAACTAGCGTGGAGTTCAACTTCGTGCTGCGGTTCTTGAGTATCCATGGTTATCTAATTTATCTCTGAATTTGCTAGGTAATTCAAAATCTATCTGTATTAACATTCTTCTGTCACCTTTTCATTTTATGATTGCATCAAGAGGGCCTAGAATTGCATTGTTTACTAGATGGTTCTATTTATTGTATCTATATTGCCTTTTTTATTTGAGTAAGATCGGTAGAAGTTCAGGATTCTAATTTGTGTCTGATAATTTACTGGGAGCAATATTCATTGATGAAACAGTGCTTTAGTTTGATGCGATTTTATTTTTTCTGATAAATTATATTCTAATTAAGTGCAGTGAATTGCATCTATTTTTTTGCTGCAGTCATTACTTGGGCTTCAGGAATTCAGAAGAAACAAAGCCACAATTTGCTTGGCATCAAGTTCAGGTAGCGACCTCCCTTTTCTCTTTTTCTTCAAATACATTCTGTCTAAAAATCACATTCACTTTAGACTCTCCAAGAAGGCGTCCGAGGAAGAGTGCAATACCTAAAATCAAACCTCCTGCTCGTAAAGGATTTGCCCCAAAACCACAGGTAGGAACGAGCAGACCCAAAAAAGATCAGAGTGATATCAAAGAAAAGATTGATTTACAATCAAGCATCTCAAGCAATTCAGTGAAGAAGGGAGTGGAGGTATTGGAGAAAGTAGAAGAAGAGGAAGATACTGACATTACCTCAGATGATGAAGCTTCTGTAGTTACTTCAGCAGATATTAGTAATGGAACGAGCAGACCCAAAAAAGAGCAGAGTGACATCGAAGAAAAGATTGATTTACAATCAAGCATCTCAAGCAATTCAGTGAAGAAGGGAGTGGAGGTATTGGAGAAAGTAGGAGAAGAGGAAGATACTGACATTACCTCAGATGATGAAGCTTCTGTAGTTACTTCAGCAGATTTTAGTAATGGTCAACCGGATAGTAGATTAAATCAAGTAAAAATTGAAGGCAGAGCTCATACAACTGAATTTGACTCGAGAACTAGTCGCATAGGGGGTTCTTCTAAGTTGAATGAAATCGACTGTGTTGAGCATCAAATCTCCAAAATGGAGATAACAAAAGGCCACACTCTTGTAACTGATAGCATAGAGGGTGACGAAGCCACAGTTGAGAGTGACATCAATATAAATGAGAATGAAGAAGAACAGATAGATGCACAAGCACAGCGGAATTCGCTAGAGCTTCTTGCCGATCAGAATTATGCAAGCGGAAAGAAAGTATTTGTTTTTCCTGAAGTGGTGAAAGCCAGTAAAAATGTAGAAATTTTCCTGAATCGGAGCTCATCGGCATTGGTCAATGAAAATGAAGTTTTGATAAATGGAGCTTTTAATGGATGGAAATGGAAATCCTTTACTGAAAAGATGCATAAAACTGATCTTAAAGGGGATTGGTGGTCATGCCAGCTATATGTTCCTAAGGAGGCATATAGAATGGATTTCGTGTTCTTTAATGGTGAGAATGTCTACGAGAACAACAACTTGAAGGATTTTTTCTTAACTGTGGAAAGTGAGTTTGACGAATCTTCTTTTGAGGATTTCTTGCTTGAAGAGAAAAGGAAGGAGCTTGAGAGGATTGCTGAAGAACGAGCTGAGAGGGAACGACTAGCTGAAGAGCTGCGCGAGAGAGAGGCAGAAAAGGCAGCAAGTGAAGCTGACCTTGCACAAGCAAAGATGGAAGTACAGAAAAAGCGGGAAGCTGTTAGCCAAGTAATGAAGTTTTCCCATGAATCGGTTGATGATTTATGGCACATAGAGGCTACTGTATTTAAAGGCGAGAACAGAGTTAGATTATACTATAACCGAAGCGCTCGTCCCCTTGAGCATGTTTCTGAGGTCTGGATTCATGGTGGTTATAATAATTGGGCTGATGGATTGACTATTGTTGAAAGGCTTCAAAGATCTGAGAAAAAAGATGGAGACTGGTGGTATGCAGAAGGTATTTGTTTGCATCCATGTGTATGTTGTAGCGTGTGTATAGTTTATGTCCAGTTTAAATATCATATGCTATTTAAGTTGTTTTACCAAATGATTTTACTCAATATTTCTCTCCTTGCTACCAAATTAATGATGACGATGGTTTGTCCACATGCACTGACCAATCTGATACACACATAACCCCAAAATAAAATCTGATACAATACATAGGAGATTTTTGAAGCAAGTTAGGTTAGGGTATATAAACGGTAAATCATGAACCTCTACCAATAGCCATTGGTAACTAGCAAAATGCCTAATTTGAAAACCTAGAAACTAGACATCTTTAGGAATTTTACCAAAGAGGTCATCTTCAATGATACGTGTGATCTTTTATTAGGGATAATATGTCCCCTTAATGACCCAAGTTATTGTTAATTTTTAGTAGCAGCAATTTTACATTTAAATAACATATGTATTTCTCAATAGATTGGCTTAACTGTTAGATATGATTTGATGAGAATCTTTAACCATTTTTTTATGTGATTGAGCACAAAGGAGATCTATTGAAATTAAATATTAACCTTCCTCATTATGCAGTTGTTATACCTGATCGAGCACTAGTCCTGGATTGGGTTTTTGCTGATGGTCCGCCACGGAGTGCAACAGTGTATGACAATAACAATTATTTGGATTACCATGCCATCGTCCCAAATGTTTTGTCTGAAGAACTTTTCTGGGTTGAAGAAGAACATAGAATCTATAGAAAGCTTCAGGAAGAGAGGAAGCAAAAACAAGAGGCTGCACAAAGAAAGGTCAGTCTGGAAAACTGTCTTTTTTCTCCATTGTCTAATGCATTCAGCTATATTCTTTCTTGTAAAGTAACGGATTATCTTGTACAATATCTCACCATCATTACCAAACCTTTTCCTGTAAATATTGGGTTTATTATTAGTTGCAAGTCCGCATTGAAAAGTCTCTAATTGAACAAATTATAACCATCAAAATACCAAATGGTCCAAGTCTATGTCAATTCCTAGCTAGCGTGCAGTTTCTTGAAAATTTCTACGATAAGTTGAATTCTTGGCGATGAACACTATAGGCCATATAGCCGATGTAAGGCAAATTCATATGGCTGTATACATTACGAAACTTTTAACTATTGCCATGCTTGTGAGCAGGCTGAGAAAACTGCACAGCTGAAGGCTGAAACAAGGGAAAGAAGCATGAAAAGGTTTTTACTCGCACAAAAGGATATAGTATATACTGATCCAATTGATGTACAAGCTGGAAAAATGGTTACAGTTTTATACAATCCCTCTAACACAGTTTTAAGTGGGAAACCTGAAGTTTGGTTCAGATGCTCATTTAACCGTTGGACTTATCGCAGTGGCCCGTTACCACCCAAGAGAATGGAACCTGCACAGAATGGCACACATCTTAAAGCAACTGGTAATATTCTTTGCCATTTCTAACTTTCGTGTTCCTGCAATGCACTTTGTGTCCTATTTCTATGTTAAAACTAGTTTGTAGAATAATGTTTTAGTTTTTCTTGTTCCCTATTTTTTTGTTCATTAAGGAGTTCTTCAAGGCAGATTATGGTAAGAACTGAACACACAAATGAAATTCTAAGGAATTTTATTTTATGCATCAATCCATTGCGAGCAAGGTTTTAAATATCGGTTATCGGGAATTTATCGGACGACCAAAATTCTTATCGGATAGCGGAAATCGGGGATATATCGGGGATAAGTAGTATTTATCGGAGTGATATACTAGATGGTGTATATATATAATATAATAACTAAAAAATGTAATCTAACCATGCTTAATGAAATATAAACATACCAAAATGTAAATCATCATGTTTAGAATCACTAACCAATTATAGAAAGCAAAACTTGCATCTTGACTGCACGATGAAACTATTCGATTGCATAGCCTTACTTATCGGCCGATAATCCCGATAAAAAAACCTTACTTATCGGCCGATAAGTACCGATAACGCCGATAACTCCCCGATAACTTGCCAAAAACGATGACCGATTAAAAATCCAAGTTATCCTATCGGAGAGCTCCCAAATCCGATAACTCGGCCGATAATATCGGTTATCGGCCGATATTTAAAACAGTGATTGCGAGATTGATTCACTATAATCAAGACAACTTCATCAATGATAGATGAAACCACAAACTTTGGCTTGTATCAAAAAGATTGTTATTTTATATTGTGTGTATTATAACCTTAAATATGAAAAGCATTTCTAAACGAGTGGTTGTATGTTATGTTTATAATGTATTTGGTTAACAGTGTAAAAAACTTTGTTGTCTTCTCCAGTTAAGGTTCCAATGGATGCTTACACGCTGGACTTTGTTTTCTCTGAGCGGGAAGATGGTGGTATCTACGACAACAAAAGCGGTATGGATTATCATATTCCCGTAGTAGGAGGAACTATCAAGGAACCTCCAATGCATGTTGTGCATATTGCTGTAGAAATGGCTCCTATTGCAAAGGTACATTTGATCTAATACTTATGGAGCATAATATGTTGGACTATGAGATTTCATGTTCTTTATCTGTTCATATCACTTTCAAGTTTCAAATGCTTTAATGGAACTAGGAAGCATCCTACTAGAATTAGTTTTGTAGGTCATAAAAAATTCAGTAAAAATAATTTTCAAACTTTGTGCATCTTTGAGTATATGATCTTTGAACAACTAAGCACCTTTTAAATGGCTGAAGGATTTTTACCAAAATAACTAAAACCTTTATATCACGACTATGGCTTCTGACTTTAGTTAAATTAAAATTAAGCTTTACAATATGCTGCATCTGAAGTTGTATTTATCATCATATATTTGTTAGACTTGTGACTTTTAGTGAACTTGCTAGTGGGATCTTTCCTTGGATCAAGCATAGGTTACCATATTCAAATTTGAAAACTTTGCATATCTCAAGTTTACGCTTATTATGAACACTTTGAAAGCAACTCTTTATTGGGAGTGTTTGATATACTCTTAATTGGTTGATGTTGTTGGTCGAATGCTCTTTAATTTATGCCTTTTCTTATGGGTGTCTGTTTTTTATCTCGAGGAAATGAACTATCTAAAACACTGGTTTTTAGACTTTTTACAGGATGTTATAATTCAAATAACTTGTCTGTAATTTAAATTAGCTTTAATTAATGACCTGTGCAATTGCCACTTACTGCAGGTGGGAGGTCTTGGTGATGTTGTTACTAGTCTTTCTCGTGCAGTCCAAGAATTAGGCCATAAAGTTGATATTATATTTCCAAAATATGATTGTATGAATCTTAGCAATGTAAGCATCTGAACCATAATTCTTCGAATTTCTTTCAATATAGTTACTTGATGTATTGCATTATCTTGTTTCATCTGCTACTGAGGTATTTTTTTACTTTGAATATGAGTTTCTGTTTGTCTATAAAGAGAAGAAAAAAGCTGATGAGGATGGAGACTAGTGGAATCATCTAAAGAAGCCTTTCCTTTTCTAAACATTGCAAAGTAGGTAGTATCAGAATTTTTATTAAGGAAAAGAAAATATTATTCTTTTTCTAATGTATATAACATACATTTATTTGGCAAAAGGCAACAATATAGAAATATTGTTCTTCTTTTGTTTATTTCTTAAACGTGGATTTAAAAGCTAGTCTCGACACTACCTTTTTGCATGCAAATTTATCTATTTTATCTCTCAATTTTATCAATTGTGTGTTATACTTAGATTTTCGAAAAGAAAAAGAGAAAAAAAAAAAAAGAAAAAAAAAAAAAGAGATTTTCACCTAGAAGGCATACAATTACTCGGAAAGATATAGTTTAAGCTGATTCTCTTTTGCTCTTACGTGCAATTATGTTTTGTCCACACAGTCTGAATATCATGTTATAAAGTTTGGCGGTGGTTTCTGACTTTGCTCAGAATGTCAGCAAATCAATTGAAGAAGAAAGTGACAGACCTATTTTTGTCTTCAAACAACAATTCAGTTTATAGAATTTTTTTCTCTATATACATCTGTACCCGTATATGTTTTATGAAGGAATGCCTCCTCAATCACCTTGGTCTCTTGCAATTTAGGTGAAGGATTTCCATTTCCGTCAAAGCTTTTTCTGGGGTGGTACAGAAATAAAAGTTTGGTTTGGGAAGGTGGAAGGCCTGTCTGTCTACTTTTTAGAACCTCAAAATGGGTACATAGTATTTTTTTGCAATGTTTATCTCTAGTATTGAATTTTCATTGTGTAGGTGCATCTGTAATTTTACTTTATGATTTACAACTTTGATAGACTCACTTGTATAAGGTATTACCTAATGAACATTTATTCTCAATGTTGGGTGTCTTTTTCTTTCTGCAGAATGTTTTGGGCAGGATGCATATATGGTAGGAATGATGGCGACAGATTTGGTTTCTTTTGTCATGCTGCTCTTGAATTTCTCTTACAAATAGGGGTTCATCCTGTAAGTGGAAACAAAATGATTGACAAATTATTTCACTACTATCGTATGGACTTTTTTTTCCCATTCATTGTGCTATTTTGTATATGCAAAAAATCTATAACCAACAATTCTTGATGCATTTATCCTTCTGAAACAGGATATTTTACACTGCCATGATTGGTCTAGTGCTCCTGTTGCATGGTTGTTCAAGGAACACTATAGGCATTATGGGATGAACAAGGCTCGCATTGTTTTCACTATTCATAACCTTGAGTTTGGAGCAGGCCATATTGCTAAAGCAATGCAACATGCTGATAAGGCTACAACGGTTAGTGCCTAATTCTTAGTCCACATTAAGGTTTTTGCTGAGTGGTTCGTAAGAGTGTATACTTGGAAGTTGGAGTATACATGCTAGTTCTATTTGGTTAGGCTCAAGAATAAATAAAGTGAATAGCTTGCATTCGTGTTTTGTTCATTTACAAGCATATTATCTTTGTTAACAGGTATCACGTACATATTCAAAGGAGGTCTCAGGAAATCCTGCAATTTCACCTCATCTTTACAAGTTTCATGGCATCTTGAACGGGATTGATCCTGATATATGGGATCCGTACAATGATAACTTTATTCCAGTATGTTCATTACCTTTAACTTATCCTGAATTTTTTTAGAAAGAGTATTGATGTCCTGAGCTGCTGGTCATGATTTTATCTTTCACATCTGAGCTTGAGTTGATTGAGATTCTAAGGGTCCAAAATAAATTTATTATGTTCTAGGCACTGAGTTATAGTGTAATTTTGAATTTAAAATTTGAGTATTTAGCATATAACTTATCATGTAATCAGAAAACCAAATTCATTTATAGCTATTCCCTTGTAAGTCCTATGATTTTCAAAATTTTATATAAAAGTACTTATTCTGAAGTGATATAGAAAATTCTAAAATAAGAAAATTTTGGAAGCACTCCTTGGTAAATAACTCAGCAAAATTTAACTAAAATAGGAGGAATAATCCAAGATGCCCACCATGCAGTTAGTAATTTTGTGTATGGTTGAGACATAAGGAGAACTGATCCCTTTACTAAGTGAACAAAATCATTCAGATCGGGGAATGAAGTGAATGCTTCTTTGAAGTTCTATATGATAACCATATTTTAACAAAATGTTGTTAGAGTGTCTACCATGTAGGATTAGACAATTGCTAACGTATCAGAAGAACTGATGTAGGACAGTATTAAGAGGGAACATCTTAAGAGAACCAAATAGCACATTCATGCTTTGTTTTAAACAAAGTGATTCTAGGAAGACTCTGCAACTAAATCATCAATGTGTAATCATAAAAGTTGACATCTTCTGCTCAACTAGTTAGGAATTTAAATATTATTTCCAGTTTACACTTTGAAGGGTGACAAGGACTCATTCTTCCCAGGTAGCTTATACATCAGAAAATGTTGTTGAAGGCAAGAAGGCAGCTAAAGAAGCCTTGCAACAAAGGCTTGGCTTGAATAAATCTGATCAACCTTTAGTAGGAATTATTACTCGCTTGACAGTTCAGAAAGGTATTCACCTTATAAAGCATGCCATTTGGAGAGCGCTTGATCGTGGTGGACAGGTAGAGACAAACTTTATTGCATAAAGACAGTCATGTTATGATAAAAATTTGCACTAATATCAGTCTAGATTACTCCATGTACCTTATTTTTTGTTGGCATTAATACTCTTATGCCATAACTCTGTTCTGCTCACGATGGAAACTGCATCATATGCTATCAATTTGAGCACAGTTCACTCCCTTCATTTTAATCACACGTTTCAAATGATATAAGAGGACTTCTAATTAATCATGCATCAAGTGGTTGCAAATATTAACGGTTTTACAACAATGCCACCATAACGGACAATGTGAATTATGAAGATCATGATGATTGAAATAGATGTGTTATGATGTGTAGATCATGATGATTGAAATAGATCATTCATTGAATAGTCTAACTCATGCACCAAGAGGTCCCTTTAGTTGGTTGTATTGCCAGAAAACCATTAAGTTCTATAGTCACTTGATGCTTGAGTGATGTATCCTCAACATACATAGTACACACTTTCTGTGTGGGCTTAACTTAGTTATCTATAAAAGTATCAAGTCACTCTCTTGTTTTATTTGCATTAAATTACCATGTTATGTGATTTTCCTTTGGCTGCAGGTTGTTTTGTTGGGTTCAGCTCCAGATCCTCGAATACAAAACGATTTTGTTAATTTAGCAAACCAGTTGCATTCTTCACATGGTGACCGAGCTCGACTTGTGTTAACTTATGATGAGCCTCTTTCGCACTTGGTGGGATTTCGTTAACCATTCTCAAAATCCCTATCTCATTGTTCTAATTTAGATTTTGGTCTTTGATCCTTGTCCATTTCTCTTGATAGATATATGCTGGCTCAGATTTTATTCTTGTTCCATCTATTTTTGAGCCATGTGGACTCACACAACTTGTAGCGATGCGATATGGAGCTATCCCTGTTGTACGTAAAACTGGAGGTTAGTGCCTTGAGATTTTTTTCTCCCTCTATATGAGAAAGTTTTACTAGATTACATCAATGAGAATTTGGCAAATTTTTGATTAAAGAATTGTCTGTAATAGCACTATGTGCATAATTTATGAGTATTCTTCTTCACCCTTGTAGGACTTTATGATACTGTATATGATGTTGATAATGATAAGGAGCGGGCTCAAGCTCAAGGTCTTGAACCAAATGGATTTAGCTTTGATGGAGCTGATACAGCGGGTGTTGATTATGCTCTCAACAGGCAAGTGACAAATTTGTTTTACTCAATTCTTTAATTTGTTTATATTGCAGAAATCATTGTCCTGTTAAGCCTTTATATATCTTTGATTCAAATGTGACATGTATAGTTTACAAGTGTATGGCATTTACATAATTTTGTCTATGCTTCATATAATATGCCCATTTACATTTTTGTTATATACTATACCATTTAGTTAAGATGGTAAATTTCAGTAAACTGATGTGACCTTTGGAGGGCTTTGCACAAAATAGCATAATTTTTTATTAGAGATAATTACCATGCAACTCTTAATTTGCAGAAAATAGGATGATCTATTGGAAAAGTTTGCTAAAAGTGTTAATGTCCTGGATAACACGTCTAATCCTCTAGTCCACCCTTACTGATAGCTTTGAGTTCACAAAGTTCATAAGAGTAATATAGAAGATACACAGAGTACAAAGGACAAAACTATCCAAAATTTATTATGTGACAACTTATCGCTAGGCGCCATCATGCATGTTAGTTTAGTGAAATTTATTGGAATTCCATGGTGATCCAATGTGGCGTTTTCTTATTTCCATGAATTTTCATTATATTTAACCCTCTATCATAAATTTTGCAGGGCGATATCTGCATGGTACGATGCCAGAGAATGGTTCAACTCGTTATGCAAGCGTGTGATGGAGCAAGATTGGTCATGGAATCGCCCTGCTCTCGATTACATGGAGCTTTATCATGCAGCACGAAAATAAACGAAAACTTTGGTTTTAGGAGGAAATTCAAGAGAATGAACAATGGTGCTCCAATCGTTTTTCCTTTTTATTTTCTCTGTAAATTCTTCAAGATTTTGTTTTTCCATTCTTTTCAATAATAATTATTGTACAGAAAAGAGTAGTATATAGTTCCATTTTATTGAGCAGCTGGTTAGTTGCGCTAGAAATAAGATGCAGAGAGTACACTTTATATATTCTAAAAATCATGAGTTTATTTTTAGCTATTGGTGTTATTGCCCTATCAACAGTACAGCATTGGTAAAATGTGGTAATCAATTTTGTTGTTTCAATTTGCTTTCGCATATTTTAGAAAGTGACACCCCCCGTAATTTTGATTCGTTCTAAATATTTGAATGGAGTAATTTTGCTGTTGTACTTTAGTATATATTTACAAGGTTAATTTGAAAGCTCATTGTCCCCAGTTTTTTTTACATAGAATTTTTTTTTAGAAACCCATAAAGCATCAAGCGTTTTCCAGAAAAATATATTGACAATTTTTATTAGAAACTTACTGCAAGCAATACCTGGTCATTATTATTGAAGAGAGTTACCGTGTGACGAGCATGTATTTTTTTGAACAATGTTGCCCTAAATTAGTTTGTATAGCTATTTCTCTCATCCCCTCATCATTACCCAATTCATAGAAGGGCAGGTTTTGCTTCTACTAATTAAAAAAATAACTGTTGCGGTTTCTCTATAATAAAAAGTTATATCATACTTTCATGCAAAAACAATGTGTATGTGATTATATTTTTGTAAACTTGTATATCTTTTAATCTACTTTCACATTTTCTCTCTTTCACGGGGAGTAGGGGAAAAAACTTTAGCTTAGTTTATGAGCATTATAAAAGAGGTTCCAAATTGGGGGAGAAATTACATTCTTAGTAGAAAACTCTCACACAAATCAACACCCGAAACAATCTGTAAAAATCTCTAGAACAATAACGGAACAGCAAGCGATAAAACAGCCAATAATAAACTTATCAATGCATATGCGCACTAAAAAGCACAAGGGTCAACAATGAGGATATGGCAAATACTCATAACTATAACATTCTTCCAGATATCCATAATCTTGAAATTCATATATAGAGAAATCGAATAGAGTATGCAAGAGGAGAGGGGGTTATACACATTATTAAGTTTTTATATACAGATATATAGAAGGATTAAATCCTTCATAACCGTTAGAAGGATCCAAATGTGTTCTCTCCACTGTAGGTCATGTAAAGAAAGCCATCTTCATCCTTGTTTTCCTCATAGATCGCAGACATCATCGCAGCTGCGACAATAATTAAGAGTTCAATATCATAAGACACAAAAGAAAACGAAAAAGAAATAACCAAAAGAGCTATGTGATGGCTGCATGCTTTTTTGACAAACCTGTTGGTGGGAGTGTGTTCTTGACGAAAATGAAGATGGCCTTCTCAGCACTGAGTTTGATCCTCTTCCGAACAACATAAACAAACTGACCAACAGTTAAATCAGCTCAAGACAGAAAAGAAAATTATTAATACTAGCTACTAGAAGATACTAGGATCCGAGGAAAAGAAGAATTATTACATCAAATTATTGAGTAAATTAGATAAGAATCAAGGCATGACTAGTTTCAGACAGCATGAAAAGGCTTGTTTTTGTGACAAAGAAAACTACAAATGCTTATAAAAGCAGATGGAATGGGACCAAAACCCTGAGAAATTTTCTTCTTCTCCGTGACTCAGTGTGAACATTTGAAAGATGAGAGATCATTCTAAACATTAAACACCACAATCCCCAAACACAGAGATTATATGCAATTCGGAATGGTGAACAGTTTCAAATTTGTCATTCTGTCAGGGTGAAATAAATCTATCAAACAACTAAACTAAGAGCATATAAGAGGAAGTGTGAAAAGTGAGATATGATGTTAATCATCACCAATGGTACAGGAATAACAGATAAGACATTTCATTTAAAAGGAGGTCACAACCATAACATATTATCTGATCATTAGATTAGTAAGCTTAAGTTGGCCAATGACCAAGCAGTAGCTAGAAGCACATGGAAGACTAAGAGATATTACAACATCATCTGTGAAAGAAGTGTAACGTGTCCTTGTTCTCATGATATCTAATTATTTTTATAAAGAAATTATTATATTTGAAGTTATAGATTGTTCACTTAGGTGACATTATAACCAAGAATTAGGAACATGTAGCTACTTTGAGAATCATAACAAAAGAAAGAGACAAACTTCTTGAAGGATTTTGAAATATATAAATAATGTGAATATAAAATTCTAGAATGCATAATAGAAAATAAAAATAAAGGACTGACTTCTTCTTGTCAATGTCTGGGATGTCACTCCTCTCAGCCTTCTCTACTATCACCTAAACACACGAAATAACAAATAGTCAGAAGAAGGTACAGTTTAAGATATTTATGATATATAACAGAAAAGATAAAGGTTCTCACGGGAATTCTATCAGGATATTTCTCCCTAATACGACCAGCTTCAGCCTGTCTCCTTTCTGAAATACAGAATGTAAAGTTTAGACTAAATGAGACACAGGTTAAGAACTGTGATATGTATGCATTACTACTTAATGTTGTAGCAAAAAAGAACATTAATCTTAGAACGGATATCAGAACCATATCGCAAATGGGAAGAATAAGAATTCATGATTTAATGTTTTAGTTTCTTACAATCAAAGAGTCCTATTCTAGTTAGGATTCTTTTTCTTTCTTCTTTTGCCAAATTATACAAAACAACCACAAACTATTAGGGGTTTTTCATAGACAAAATAACACAACTTTTCAATTAGAGGAAAATGCCATAAGGTTCCAAATCAACAAAGATATCACGTAATATCAAAAACTCTCCATAAACTAAACACCTTTTACAAACCCATCATAAAATTTCATATAAAGTCACTGGACTATAATGAACTTACTTATTCGGGAAACTACCATGGACTTTCAGATATAATAATAATTTATTCATTAAACCACCATACAATTTTCTGATAAGACATAATAGTCGCACTTTCTTTAACAAAAATAGTCCATTGTAGTTATGTGTAAATTCCACAATACTTCATGCCAGTTTTGCAAAATTTACTCTCTTTTTTCCGTAACATATACTACATAGCATGAACATTTAATTTGGATTGTTTCAACTAAAGCTTCAGTCTTCAATTACTATCGTTCCAGTGTTCAACTAAAATTTAGTTTTTCTTCAGCGTAAAATTGGGGTGAAAGTTTCAATCTTTTCCCTCTGCGCTTCTATCTGAGAGAGGCCTAATCATAATTGCTCAACAACAACAACAAAAAAAAAAAAATCAAGAAATCAAGATGGTAGTCGCGATTTTCTAAATTAAAAAAAGGGCAAAAAAAAGGGGAACAAACCGAGAGGGTGTTCGAGCTTGAACGAATTCTTCGCCATTGGATCTTCTTTCTTTCCTACCTCTCTCCTTTTTCTGCGATTGATTAATTAGCAATTAATAGACATACGATCGAACGAGAGAAACCCTAGTTTAATAGAGAGAAACCGATTGCTTACCAAATTGAATCGATCAACCCTGGAGCTATTTGGGGATCTGGGAGAGAACTAATAAATAAATATCAACTTCTTTAACGGATTCGGGTACGTAGTAAAATGAGCAAACCCGACATTTCAATAGCAATAAGAACTTTGAAAGGGAGAAATTTTCAGTATAGACCCACTGGCAAATTTTATAACAAAAATCGACCCAATTATCTTTTTATTATTGAAATCGACCCACTTTCTGTCTCGTCAGCCTCCTTAATTAGTTTGTGCCGTTTACTGCGGTGGGAGCTCAATTTTGTAGCTTTTTTACTTGCACGAGCTGGGAACTGCGTTCTCACTCAGCCTTCATCTTATGTGCAGATCTCAATTTTCTTTGTAAGTATATATATTATTCGTTTTTTTAATGATTAGGATGATTAAGTTTGTTCTTCATAGTGATAAATACATGAATATGTTGTAAATTCAGCAGTTTAGTTAATGCCACCCTGCGTATGCTTGACGACTAGTTCACCGATCCGGCGAGCCAAAAAATTGTTGGGGTTGCCAAATCCGACAATTTTGGTAAGAGCGCCCGTCAGGGTTTTGAGCGCATAAATTAATGGTTTAATTAGCGATTAATTAAGCAACGTGTATTTTTTAAATCGACCCAGTTTCTGGGCAGAAGCTGATGTGGCAGAAACTGAGTCGATTTCATTAATAAAAAGGTAATTGGGTCTTTTTTTTGTGATAAAATGTGGAAGTGGATCTATATTGAAAATTTCTCCTTTAAAAAACTTAAAAATATTCATTTGGGCCCACATTTGAAATCGTTCTATCTTTTGAACTGAAAAAATATGCAAAGTACCACTAAAAATACTAAAAATTTACCACTTCTAGTTTTGATACATTTATATTATATAAATTTATTTAAAATGTAATGGAACTTTGGGGTTATTATTCGGACAAAAGTAGAATATCAAAATTATAAATCGGTAAAACTTTTGGATATCAAAATTGATTTAACCTTTTCTAGGGTGAAAACCCTAAAGGGCTCTCCCTAGAGTATTGCATTAATGCAAATAAAAACAATCTGTACAAATAATGCAAACATCATATTACAATATTTCAAATCACTTAAACACATAGCACTTGTAACTTTTTCCTGAAAATGCATGCTCCGGATCCAATTTTTTTGCCAATATGAACTAATTAGAGGAACTGTTTGTTACACATTGAAGAGTATACATACACAGTCAAGCAGAATAGAATTATCTCACTACAACAAATGCATATTAACACCACAAAACGTCCAAACAGTAACACTCTCAAAAGAACTCAAAATCTATAATGTTTTCATCCTCTAACTACTATGCCCTCCTCTCCCTAGAATCTCAGCCTCCACCGGGTTGGGCATCTCCGACGACATTCACCCCCTTCAAAGAACTCACGCATATATACTAAAACAAATGGTGTCACAAAAACTTCTCTCTTGCGGTAGGATACAGAAATAAGATATTATTATCAAAGAAACTTGGAATTTCTTACCCATTAACAAAATATTGTGATCAGTTCATTCAAACTTAAGGAAGTTAGTGGGATAAATATACTTCCAATTTCTTGGTATGAAAACTAAGACTTACCATAAATTTGTAAAGCAAGTTGATAATCCTGCTCCTCCTCCTCTTCAAAATCTTCAATATAAACAACTCTCTTCTATGACCTACGCATCCAATCTTGAAATTAAGTTTTAACAGGTTTCACAGGAATCTCCAGGGGTTTATAATAGTCACAAAAGTGCTAATTGAATTAATGCACATGTACGTTACAATTTGATGGGTGGTGTAGAGCTTGACGTTATTTCTATACATCAAATACATTGACTATTGAATGATGTTAATTGGACTTAAGTATTTTATTGGACGTGGAGGAAGGTTTAGTTGGAGTAAGTTGAGTAAAAACTGTATAATAATATTTATGTGACAAAAAAGTAAGATAAATGTACATCCCTCAAAGATAATTAATGTACATCTTATACCAACTATAATATATAGTTTACTAATATATAGATATAAAGTTTCTTAATATATAAATATTGAAGTCTAGAACAAAAAAATATGTGTAACTATTAATAGTTGTACTGTAGTTTATAAAATATATCTAACTATAGTAAATAATAGTTATAGTAAATAATAGTTATAATTTTGTAGTCTTAAATCTAACTGTAATTAATGTGATATGATTTAATAAGATTGGTGGTTATGAGAAAAATTTGAAAGTTATATTTCTTGTTAGGAGTTAGTGGATGAATGTTATGAGTGTGTGGTTAAATAAAAATTTGATGGTCATAAAGATGGTGGTTATGAAAAATTGAGTATGAATGTGTCATCATGTATGTATGAGGTTATGAAAAATTGAGTATGAATGTGTCATCATGTATGTATGAATGGATGGATGTGTAGTCAATGGTGATGTTATGAAAAATTAAGTATGAATGTGTCATCATGTATGTATGAATGGATGGATGTGTAGTCAATGGTGATGTTATGAAAAATTAAGTATGTGTGTGTCTCATGTATGCATGGATTGATGTGTTGAAGGGCATATTAGGAAGAAATGTTTTAACATAACAACCCACTTTTATAATAGTATTAGATAATTGTTTAGAGGCTTTTGTGAAAATAATTATTGGAAGTTAGGTGGGTATATTAAAAAAAATCAAGGGCTATACCACTGAAAGGGAGAAAAAAAGGGTAAACATTTTGATCTTTGTGAACTGCCCAAAAGTGAAGAGGCTAACTGACGGGTATTTTTAAAATTCTGAAGGTTTATCTTAAAATGGGCCAAAAGATATGGTGTTATGTGAAATTACTCTAATTTTGACTCGAAGCCTATTCCTTATATTTTATTCAAGATAAGGATTCTTTGAATTGCAGGCCTATAAAAGTCATTCTCTATCTAAAAAAGGGCAACATTTAAGAATTTAAGTTAAAAATTAGCTTAAAAATTACAAATTATTTCATTAAATTTCTTAGAATTAATGATTTTAATCCTAGGTAGTTGCCAACGCCAATAAATATTTAGCAATTAACAAAAGCACTGACATTAAAACTTATAGAGGTTACTCGAGCTGTCAACACACGGAGACCATTAAAAATCTTTATATAGGTAGAATAGACAACATCATATCTCATGAATTCTCAACATTTTTAAAGATTGATGTGTCAGAAAGTATTCAGTGATTTTGGTTTGTAACACTAATGACGCATACAAAAATATCAATTTATTAATCACTGGACTAGAAGATTTGTGTGCTAATTCAACTTAATATTGAGTTAAAAATAACATGTTTGAAAGCCTCTCTCATGCATAAAATGATTGACCAATTATTTTTTAAACCATATTAAATGCATGTGTAAAAAATCATCAAAGGGGAACTTCTTAAGCATAGATATATCTTTAAATGAGCATCATGATTATCCATTATACTTGCTATCCCTATAAATTTTCTTAGCAAACTTCAAGTGATTGATGCTTTTTTGTATTTGAGTTTTTTGAAGTTACTCATAATGACCAATTAGATGGGTAGTTCACACACACACACACAAAGTATCATCACAAAAAATAAACATAAAAATAAATACACGTGCAACGCACGTGTACCCTACTAGTTATGTTATTAATGGAGGTTGGGTGGGGTGGGGGAGGGGGGAGGAGCTATGGCAGTCTAAAAGAGTTAAATGGTCAAATTGTAGAATTTGACAATTTAAATAGCACATGTGTGGTTTCATAACAAAGGAACCTAGTACTTATCAAAAATATCACCCAAAATCTAACACTTTTAGTTTTAATACTTTTTACTATATAAATTCGTTTAAAACAAATTAGATGATTCAATACAATGTACAACAACAACAACAAAGTCATTATTTAAAATATTTATATTAATTCTATTCTTTTCCTTCTGTTTTATTTTGAGATCTGATTTAATCAAAGTTGTTAAAGTTAAAAAGTAATAGAATTTTGGGCTTATTAATCAAGTATAGAGTGTCTGTAGGCACCCATTAGCAGTGAGCCCCTTTGATTTGCACTAATTTCTCTCCTTGTTTCTTCTTGCTCTATTTCTGTCATTCCCTAATGAGTGCCCGTGGACTCCCGAAAAACTTTACCCTAGCCTCTCTCTATCTCTGTCACATTAGGGCCCACGAGCACCCGTTAGAAAAAAAAAATTACTTATGCGTCTTCAAGTAAACAAAGTTCAAGAGTGCAACATAAAACTTCACAGTATGTTCCTCTTCATCAAATTCAATCAATATGCATTCTGAAAACAAAAATATCAACGCTCAACTGATAAATTAACTAGTTACACCATAAACTTCCACAAGTGTAGTATCACAAAATGTCCAAGCTCAGTGTCCTACTGCCCTGCCACAAAGGATAGCATTGCTTGGTATTGGATACTCATCCCTCCACGAGTTCGCTGGCGAATAAACTCGAAGATAAAGTTGCTGTCCAAGATACTGCCTTGCCCAGTTCTCCGATCTTATGTTCCACATGCCCACATTATCCAGTGTTACATATATCGCAGACCAAGATTTCGGGTATACCTGAAAATATAGGGGAATATATTGTTACCAGATACAGTGACAACAAAAACCAAGACTTTATCCCAAAAATTGGTTCGTCAACCCTATTCTTTCATTCAGTTCTATTAAGGACCATCTCCTCCGTTATAAGCTAACTATTAGCACATGCTTCTTAAATGCTTCCAACAAAGTTCTTATGTTTAGTAATATAGTTTTATCATCTTCTCTAGCAGATGCATTTACTAGACTCCGATAAACATGATCAAACCATCTCAATTAGTTCTCTCTTTTTTTCTTTTTTCTTTTTTGTTAATAGGAATAACAAGTGCACTCATTTCTTATCATATATCATGGTGTATGCTCACAAGACCATCATAAACCTCCTCATTTCTGCTACACTCATTTTTGCGCATGTTGTTCCTTAATTACTCAACATTCAGATCCATTAAGTATTGTTTTTTTTATATTTGACCTATAGAACTTTTCCTACAATCTTATAGGAGACATCAGATACATGGCTATTTTTTTTGATACATTAGTTCTTGAAATTACCTGAACAGTACAACGGGCGATTGTGTCTCTCAGATTGTACCCTTGCCTGCTTTCTGGTGTCCATTGCCCTACCTCCATGCTGAACATTACGTTCATGTCAGTCAACAAACAAAATGTAGAACACAGAGAAAAGAATAACTGAACATTTACCCGACGACAAAGAATGAATATCCATCAACATGCCAGGACTGCACAAAATCTTCATCATTCTCAAAGACAATCTCAACATAGTCTCTGAAATTAGCTGGCATTACTGAGGGTTGAAGAGAATAGCCACCACTATTGCCAGAGTTTGGCATGTCAGGGATATTTCCCAGATTGAAAACTTCAGGGATGTTGAAGTAGTCTGCGAGCTTGAGCGGCGTCTCAGATCCTATGAAGGACACACCATTGACAGCAAATCTCTGCTTGTTGTTGATGATGGGTGCAGAGTTTGCCAGCACAATGGTTCGTGTTGTGTTGATCATTCCATAGTGGTATGAGCCTTGTGGGTTCGGTCTCGATCCACTTGCACTTAGATTCCACCTGGATTTTCATTGCATGTAGTGGTTGATGTTAATTTTCATGATGTTTTTTTCACTTTAGGAAAAAAATGAATTTCCAGTATATTTTCGTGCATGTCCTCAGAGCACAGCCTAGAAAAAGAATTTGCAACGAGAGGAAATAGAAATCTTTGGAGATGAAGATATTTGTGATATATGAAACAGATGCAGTGGGCTTCCTAGATTTTCAACATTCATCATATAGTCACTCAGATTCCACCTAGATTTTGAACGAAAGACATGTTTTATTTTCATTTCCACTACAGTAACAGAACAAAATTTCGATGTTACGCATGTTCTTATAGCACAGCCTTTAGACAAATTTTTGACACTGAGGGTAAATAAAATCTTCGAAGATATAGGTTTTTGTGATATATTCACAAACATATTTTTGTACTAATTAAAGCGTTTGATATATTGCATAGCATTACAAAATAAGCAAAAGGAGGAGTAGTAGAAAAATACCGCAATGACTTGGCCTGGTTAAGAGACCACTCAATCTCCTCTGATGGACCCTCTGGCGGTGGTTCCATTGGACTTCCAGCAGAATTCGAGTAGTGGAGAATGGCACTTGTGGTTAGAGCAGGACTACTGCTAAATCGAGTAGAGACAACAATGTAGTAATCGAGTGGTGCTTGATCAGCTGTAATGAGAACTGAACAAGATTGGCCCAAATGAATGTCGAGGGACGAGTAGGTGTTTTGTACCGTGTGTGAGCCTTCAACCTCAACCAATGTCATCGCATGTCCCTGAAATCTTACGTTTATAGATGTTGCAAGACCAACATTTGATATCCGAAATCTATATGTTTTACCTGAAAAACATCATTTACAGATATTGGTAGTGTTGTGCTAGTTTAATATAGAAATCACATATAAATGTCTTAATTCTTAAAAAAAAACTGAAGAAAAAGAATACCTTGTTCAACTGTAAACGTGTTTCGATTTGGTCCCTGGCCATTGATGAGAAGTCCATCGGGAGATGGAAGATTCCCTCCGCTGTCTAGTATGGCCTGGAGATCCTGACACATAAAAGTTATTTTAAGAAATTAAGTTTCAATATTAAAAAAAAAAAGCTGGCAATAATTTTTTTCTGGTTTGAAAAGAGGTTTTTGCACAATTCCCTAATATAAACTTAGAATTACTAATATTGGAGATTTGAAAGTAGGTTAGCATATAAATCTCATTCATAGTTCTCATGCATATAACCAATAGACTTCTTACTTTCTCTGTGATATGCATAAAACTGCAACTCCCAATCTATCATAGAAGCTAGAGTTGTATTCTACACAAAGAAAAAAAAAAAAAATCTGTTTCGGCTAATAATTAGATTATACTTAAGACTTCCATGCATGAAGACTTACAATGTGATTAGCATTGAACCAGTCCCCAGCCAAGATAGTGAAATCACCCGCTGGAGGAGGAAACGGAACGGGAATGACAGAACGGCTGAGGATCTTGATGCCTCCGAACCCTCCAGCAGACTTGTGGAAGGCTAGAGAGGGGAAGTAGAAGTAGCTCCCAATCTGATCTTTCACTTGCAGAACATAAGTAAAATTGCCTCCCGGAGGTATTGGACAATTTGTGCCATGAACTCCATCTTGCCATGAGTTTCTTCGTTGTAGTAGTCCGTTCCTGGATAAAAATAAAAATAAATTGACAAAAGGAAAATAAAATAAGAGAACGAAATATAATGTGATATATTAACAAGTACAAATTATGGGGTGTTTTATTAAATGTAGATAGTAAAACTTAAACATGTGCATTTTGATGGGGTGTTTTCTTATTTCTTCGGACTTAAATCTTCTCATCAGCGACTAGGACACACTCCTTCTTCTAGTCCACATCCAGTTTGAAGGTAACTCCATTTAAACCATAAAGTTAGCAAAATTACAATTTCTAAAGCTTGTGTCATAAGCCTTTAACTACAACTTAAAAAAGTATTATGATTTAAAATTTTTAAAACCCACCTACTTACATATTTATGATGTTTTCCCCTTGCTATATAAGAGGTTTATCTCTAAATCTTCTCCCATGCCTTGCCATTTTCCCGTAGCATGCCCTTAACTATCCATAATATTTCTAAGGAGAGGAGCTATAATTATGATTTTATTGTGCTCACAACTATATTAAGAAGGGAAGTAAAGTCTAATCTAGGTGACCAATTTTATTTATTTTTTGCTTTCCCTCCTTCCTATTCAAGAAAAGTCATGTTGAGTTGAGAAGCGTGGTGGACACTAAGAAATATTTTATTATTATTTCTCTAGTACTACAACCATCTATACTCTTCAATACAAACTACTGCACTCTTTTACAACCACTCACTATTTCCCTCCCTTTATTTCTCTCTTTGTTTTTCTCTCTTTCTCTTTCTCGCAACTTGGAATGATCCTTTCCTACTTGGATGCCTTACAAGTCAAACTTGGGAGGTATATATAAGCTTTGTTATGATGTAGGTATATACTATTAGGGGTTGGTAATTACTGTTGCAACGGTGGCCGAGTAAGGTGGGGGTAGATGAGCTGTTGACTTCAACAAGTCATACCCTATATTGAAACTCAATAACATCCCATAAAATCTAACCCCCCAAAAAACCAGTTCTTCCCTTCTTTCCGATTGCGCGAAACCCTAGATCTCCCTAAAATCACTAACAACCCTTACATGCATCACAAATATGTGTACAAAGGTCCAGGCAACAATCATTTACAGCTATACAAGACATAATAATTCGATTAAATTTCCCAAACAAAAACGAAACTCCCATGAAAAATATTCATGCATACCAGGAGATGAGAAAAGGCTCAGGCAAGCCATTGAAGACATTTATGACCAGATTATCATTGGTCACACAATCTATCTCCGGCCCCGGGAATTGCCCATTTATCAGAATCCCCTGACAAAAAAAATCAAAATTAATCACTAAAAATCAACAAAAATACCCCCAAAAAGAGAGGGGAAATAACAGTTTTTTTTACCTGTTTCTGCACTCCAAGAGGTGAGATATCACCATAAGCTATATTCCAAGTAAAAAACCTGTAAGGATCTTCAGCAACAATTAAAGACAAATGCCCAATAAACACAATACCAAGAACAATGGCAAGATTCTTGGGTTCCATTCTCAATTGAAACACACACACACACTCTCTCTCTCTCTCTCTCTCTCAACTGACATTTCTATATGTAAAGGCTTATGGTCTTTGATTACTTAGCCCTGTGGAACTCCTCAAAGTTCAAATAATGGCACTTTAACGCTTTAATGCAGTTGGCTTTTTATCAAGAGATCCGGTCACCACCCAGTGAGGATAAAAGCCAACCGCATGATCCGTTGGTTCTGCTGTTTTGGTTCAAATTTTTAACGGCTTACTGATTTTGCAAGTGAGGTGCACGTGACGAAAGATGTGCAAGGATGAGCGAGTGGTGATATACATTTTGAGCACATGTGAGTTTGGCTTGGCTGGCATTCTTTGATCATACGAACACGCCCTTGTGGAAACTAAAATCTATTGAGTGTAGTGCTAGCATATGAGGAAAATCTTGCTTTATTTGAAAATTTTCACATTCTTGATTTGTCTCCAAAATGTTATATAACTTGTACGAACCACATATATCGCTTTGTTTGCATCAAAAAAATTTCATTAAAACATGTACTTGTATGATCCTGAAATGGCATAGTAAATTGATAATAGCAACAATCATATATAGGGGAATCGAGGCTAAACTAATATTTTTCAAGCTAATGTAAAGGAGACTGACAATTTAATTTCCGAAACATCCTAATTGAATTACATTTCTACTTCTTCACAGTCCTAATTGAATTACTTGTTAATTGTATATTAAACTCCAGCAATAGAAACTTCGATGTTTGAATAGCATATTTTGTTAAATAGGTCTTTACGATGAATAAAATTTCAGGTTGGTTTGGGACTGAAGTTTTCCTGCACTCTTGATTTGAGCTTCTTTTAGTACTGGAAATTGAGCGGTTTTAAAACATTCAGATTTTGTTGTTGTAGGCTTTAAGAGAAACGAACTAGAGCACCAGGGCTTGTAAGCAGGGAACATAAAGAGAGTGCAGAGATAATACACATTACATTGGGCTCGAGTAATCATAATACTAATTACCAATTTTTTCGCATTTTGTTAGTCCTCATAAACATCGACATGAAAATAGTTTTGCAGAACAGAAAGGAAACTATCTGCAATCCACAATATTAATCCACTCTTTAATTTCACACACGAACGAAACTACGTTAAAACTTTATTCGAGTGCATTCGTAGCATCAAGGCACAAACAAATCTTACACTGTGAACAACAGCGAAGAAGCGTGACACGCCGACGAAACGCACATCACTCCTAACCAAACAAACCTGAACAAGCAAAGGACAGATACGTGAACCGATAACTTTACTCAAACGTAGCAAGTGCCTCCTGGCTCCTGCTTCAGGGAGCTATCGGAGAGCTTACTTCAACCGTGGTACCTGAACCAAAGCTCACACTGCCAACCAAAGGAGCCTGCAGAGTGACAGGGGGCATATTAGAGGAAGCCGCCCATTTCTCATCGGCGAGTCCAGCAGCATTGCCAGCATCAGTGCTGTGATTGATCAGCTTCTGCTTCTGTTCAACTAGAACTCTGCTGCTGGCAGAGCAAACTAGAGCGCAGACGAATATAAGCACGACAAGCTTAGCCATCTCTGTTGTTTTTTTTTTCTGTAGAGAATTTGGATGGGGGTATTTATAGATTGAGATCAGGACCGAGAAATTAATGATAAATTAGATTCATGAATTGATGGTCCATTGTTGTCACTGTTTGTGTACTGTGTAGAGGGGAATCAGCATTGAATCAGATTTTTTGCAGGCTATAGCATGCATCAGTGTACAGATTCAGGATTGCTGAGCTTTCAAATTGATGGAGGCTATTAAATTAAATAGTGAATGAGATGGGGACATCTTGCGTGCAGTTGATCTAGTAAAATTTCTTTTTCCCCACACAGTAGTAAATAGTATATTAGTATCTGGAGTTTGATAACCAAGGTCTTGGATTGGGCCAATTACTACGCTGAAGTACTGATGCACCGAGGGCTCAAAAGCCTGGTTGGCGCTGAGGTTTTAGAAATGTTTTGACTCAGGCCGGGAAAGATAAGAGTGCGAGGTTTCTCTATAAGATATTTGGCCCAATGGGGTTTGGTGAGCGCATGATTATGAACTCTTGTCTTAACGGATAAATACGAAAATTCACAGGTATAAACATGATATGTACTTCAAACCTTACATGCATAAACAGTGACGTAGCCAGGATTATTTTTTGCTCTGGGCGATAAATAAAGGTGGTCTACGAGTATGTCGTGAGGGAGAGGTGGGAGGCGCGGGAGAGAGAGGAGGGCTGGGGATTGTTGAGGAGGGCCTGGAAGAGGAGGGAGATGAGGTTGGATCTGTGGGAGAAGGATGTGAAGTGGCGGGAGAGGAGGGGAAGCGAGGGGAGGAGAGAGAGGTCGTGGGAGAGGCGGACTTTCTTGCCCTGGGCAAGCAAGCTCTGGCTACGCCCCTGTGCATAAACATGATATACTTTTTTGGGGATATGCAGCTAATGAGAAAATGATGGACATAACATGACAACTTATTTACTAATGAGCTACCATGAGATAAACTGAAAAGCTGAAGCCATTATTATGTAATATAGTAATAGGAGCATATGGATTTCCATAACTTCTATCTGTTGGAAATCAGTTTTGCCACTCAGAGTTTCATTGCCATGGGACACAAAATATTATTCGCTCTAGTAATAAGATTTGATCACCTGAGCTTCAAGTTTAGAATTTAGAAAAATGTCCTTGCATCTGAAAATAAAAAAACTCAGCAAAACCCTCACACTAAGAAGATTTGTTGGATATACTCTCACACTTGGGAAAAAAATCAACAGAGATGTCCTCATGCTTGGAAAAATCAATAGAAAGACTTTTACAGGTGGGGAAAAAAAATCCAAAAATCTAACCAACCGTTAAATTTTGATAATTGGAGTACACAATTCTTCTACTTTTTGTGTCTATGTACCCTTCTAAGTTAGACTGGCGTGTTCATGATGCACGTTTATGCATTAGGATCTGAAAGAAGTATCTTACACAAAAACCTAACTCCTATTATAAATTATAACTTCATTTTCTTTTTTTCCCCTTTTGTAAATAAAACATCTTCAAGAAAATTATAGATATTAATCCCTTAAATTATATGTATTTTTTATATTAGTCTCTCAAATCTTCATATTTTAATATTAGTCCCTCAAATCACTTTAATATGTTAATATTAGTCCTTCCCTCGATCCATATATTAAAAATCCTAAATCGTAATTAGATTTAGACTAACCACGAATGATTAAATTACCTTCTACCTCTCTCTACACTCTCTCCTCTCGTCATCCTCTCTCTATCTCCCTCTCCTCTCCTCACGCTTCCATGCATACCGGTCTTCCTGCATGACGCTAGTATCCTCAGCCTCCCTCCTCATCACTACACCACCATATCGCCATCTCCATCTCCAATACATGTTATCGTATCTCTTTCATTTTCAATATCACTACCCGCCTACCTTGCCCTGCCAATCATCCGATAACCGTCGAAATTTCTCGCCTCCACTTCAACTCCTCAACTATCATATTCGTTTCAATTTAAAGACATTGGAGCGACGCCCAGCGAGAAGGAAGATGGCAGGAAAGGGCACCGGTGCCGAGGATCGGGGGGGGGGAGGGGGGGGGGGTTATAACCGCGCACAGAGGAAAAATTAATAAATAAAATATTTCCTATCTATTTTAACACCAGCTAAGGGCCCGTTTAGTTGCAACTCAGACATGCTGAATCCCTGACAAAAGCTGACATTTTTGTCAGCTTTAAGTCAAAATCCCCTGGCTTAAAGCTGACATTTTTGTCAGCTTTTGTCAGGCTTTCAGCCTCTCTTTTGCAACCAAACGGGGCCTAACTAGCAGGATTGTGAGGATACCAAGGTAACTTGATGAGCGACTAATATCAGAAGATTTGGGGACTAAGAGCATGTGCAGCAAGCTCCCAGCTCCGCTCTCAGCTCCGACGTGGCCAAGCTCCCAGATTTAACCCCCTCCAACAGCCTCCGAAGCGCTCCCAAGGACCTCCCAAGCGCTGACGTGGCGGCCTCCAGCTTCGGAGCTCCCAAGCGCTCCACAAATTTGTGGAGCGCTTGGGAGCTCCCAACTGGGAGAGGATTTACAAAAACCCCCCTCCAAAATCCGAAATCGACAGTGGGATCGGAGACTTCGGGGTGGGATCGGAGACTGAAGGCGGAGATGATGGCGGAGATGATGGATGATGGCGGAGATGATGGCGGAGATGATGGATGATGGCGGAGATGATGGCGGTGGCCAGTCGCAAGAATTGGTCTGTCGAGATTGCGGGTGCGCTGGTCAAGAATGGGTTGGCACGAAATTGCGGTGGCGGTTGAAGATTGCCATGGCGTCGAAGAATTGCGTGGCGTTGGCTCGAGACTGTGCGATGGCCAGCTGGGGTTGGGTCGGAGACGATGGTGGCGAAGGGAGAAGATTTGGGGTTTGGTCTGTCGAAGATTTGGGGATGAGGGCTGCTTGGTCTGTCGAAGAATTGGGGTTGAGTTTGTCGAAGGAGAAGAAGGATTTTTTGATTTTTTTTTAAATGGAGTGCGTTGTTTGATTTTAACCGTCTGTCGAAGATTTGAGTTGTGAAATTTTTTCTTGTTGATAGTCAAACATTGTGAAAATCAGGCTGTTGGAAATATTGACGTTGTGGAATCATGCCGTTGGAAATATTGACGTTGTGGAAATATTGACGTTGTGAAAATCATGCTGTTGAAAAATTTACTGTTGTAAAAAACATCTATAAATTCACATCTCACTACTCAAAATATTTCACACAAATCTCTCATAAAAAAAACTCTATATATCCCTATCAAATTACAAATCTCATGGATCCCTCACAAAACTATTATTCGCATCTCCTTACCGGTGAAGGATCGACCTTATACTCGCCGTTCTATACAGAAGTCGGAGAAGAAGATCATCCCATCGAGTTCTCGCAATCCGTAACACAACAAGTGTCATCCCAAGAAACACCGACCACAAAGAAGAAGAAGGCTTACACGCGGTCCGAAAATTGGACTGTCCACGAGGATAAGCTTCTTGTGTCTGCTTGGCTGAACACGAGCCAAGACTCCATCCAAGGCACAGGGCAACACAAAGATAAGTTCTGGCACAGAGCTAACGACTACTTTATCCAATACTCCACCGATCCAACGAGTCGCACACCAAACCAAATGATGCACCGTTGGTCAACGATTCAACTGTCGGTCAACAAGTTCTGCGGGTGCGTTGCTCAGATTGAAGGAAGACAAAGATCTGGTACGGGAATTATTGACCAGGTAAATATTTGACTTATATGTTTTTATGTAAATATTTAACTTATATGTTTGATTATTCTAAATTTAACTCTTGTGTAGACTGCAGAAGTAAAAGAATTATACCAATCCCTTTATGGTAAGCCATTCGTGTTTGACCATTGCTGGGTTGAGTTGCGTCATCACCAAAAGTGGATCCAACAAATGGAAAATTACAATAAGATTCGATCACAGCCGAGAAGAACCACGAACTCTGATTCCTCACCAAACAATTCCATGCCAGCGACCACCATCGAGTTGAATATTGACTCGGATGATGTTATAGCAAGGCCTGAAGGGAGGAAAGCGGCAAAACTCAAGAGGAAACAAAATGTGGACAAATCTGAGTCCGCTAAGTCCATTATGGGAGAGGCTTTCGCGTGGATGAAGCAAACCAACAAAGAAAAATTGGAGCTAAAACAGAAGAAACAAGATGACGATATCATGAAGATCGATCTTTCAACACTCAATTCAGTTCAACGTCAATACTTTGAAATGCGTCAGGCAGAGATATTGGAGAGGTGGATGCTCAACACTCAATTCAGTTCAACGTCAATACTTTGAAATGCGTCAGGCAGAGATATTGGAGAGGTGGATGTCCAAGGGTTCTTCCTAATTATCATATATTGTACTCGCATCGCATCCTTATTAGTTCTTCCTAATTATCAAATAGTATCTTATATTAGATTTATGATTGTACTTGAAGTTGAAAAAATTGGCATTGAATGAAAACAACTACTTTATTAAAAATGAAATTGGCGTAGTACAACAACTTGAACTCCTTTTCTGAAATTACATTAGACATAAAGAAACTTAATCCTCGGCGATGGATCCCTTAAGCATCGAGCTTGCAACACGCCAAAAGCTCGCTCAACATCTTTTCTTGCGCTCTCTTGTTGTTGAGCAAAGTATTTATGCTTATTTCCTCGTGGTGCTGGAATAGTCTTCACTAATGTGGACCACTCTGGGTAAATCCCGTCGGCGAGATAGTATCCCATATTATACTCGTGGCCATTGACAGTATAGTTGCACGGTGAAGCTCTTCCCTCCGCAAGTTGTGCGAAAACCGGTGAACGATGTAGAACATTAAGGTCATTGTGAGACCCCGGCAGTCCAAAGAAGGCATGCCATATCCAAAGATCTTTGCTAGCTACGGCCTCCAAAATAATTGTGGGTTCATGAAAATGTCCAGTATACATACCTTGCCAGGCAGTTGGACAGTTCTTCCATGTCCAGTGCATGCAGTCGATGCTCCCAAGCATACCAGGAAAACCTCGTTGTGAGCCTTCCTCGAGCAGGCGTGCAACGTCTTCATTAGTCGGTGCATGAAGGTATTCCTCTCCAAAGATGTTGATAATCGATCGAACGAACCTCTTCACGCTCTCAAGCGACGTACTTTTACCGATCCGAACGTAGTCGTCAACGGCGTCAGCGGATGCTCCATATGCGAGCATCCGCATAGCTGCAGTAATCTTTTGAAGACTAGATAGTCCTAACTGTCCAGCACCATTCCTCTTTTGGACGAAGTACTTGTCATGTTCGACGACTGTGTCGTGGATTCGAAGGAATAACAAACGCGTCATTCTGAACCTTTGACGAAAATAATAAAGAGGATAGGTTGGTGCGTCAGCAAAATAATCTTGGAATAACTGATTGTGGCCTTCCAGTCGGTTTCGATGGAGCACGATACGTCGTTTGTGTTGAACTGAAGTTGAACATTTCTCTTGTTCTTCTTCCTCAACGACAACAGCTCCTATAAGAAAGAACGTCTTCATCATTTCATCATCGCTAGAGCTAGATGAGCTAGACATTTTATTCTGGGAGATGATGGGTTGAGGAGAGAAGCCGTCGAATTTTATAGGCATCAGTCGGTTGACGGTCAAAGTTTGCGATACCTCGAACTTCGTGCCCAACATCGAAGACCGCGGGTTACCTCGAAGACCGTGTGCGTTCCCTCAAAAGCCGCGGGTTACCTCGAAGACTGTGTGCGCTCCCTCGAAGACCGTGGGTTGCCTCGAAGACCGTGTGCGCTCCCTCGAAGGCCGTATCCAACGGTTAGAAATAAAATACAAGAGGTTTAAATATAATTAAAAGTAATGGGTAAAATATTAAAATAGAAGAGAGGTTTTTTTGATATTGTTGGAGCTCCTAACTAGGAGCTTGTTGGAGCTCCATAAAAGAATGAGCGCCTCTCAAGACTTACTTTTTTAATTTTTTATTCCAAAAAAGTTGAGAGCTCTTAGGAGCTTGCACTCCCAACTGGGAGCTTGCTGCACTTGCTCTAATATCAAAATATCTACAATGCAAGCAACTAATGTCTAAAAGCCCAAAAATTATTTAAAAAAAAAAGATGAAATAAAATCAGAATCATGGGATGAGAGAAACATAGGCGCCACCCGCTGCGGATGACACATCCTTCTCCAACCACCCGAAAAAAAACCAGATCCCAGATCTCCCCTCTTTATCATCCCTAAAACACTCCGCTCCTACTTTAAATAAACAAAAAAAAAAAAAATGAGAGGAACCAGCCTCTGGCACCTCCAGCCAAAACCTAGCCCTGCCGCCTCCGCACCGCCGCCCTCGCCCGCGCTGCTCCGACCTCAAGAAGACCGCCCTGCACGACTTCACCGTAGAACGGCCGCGCCAAGATGGTCCCTTTCGCGGGCTGGTCGATGCCCATCCAGTACAGGGACTCCATCATGTGACTCCGCCCTCAACTGCCGGGCCCACGCGGCTCTTCGACGTCTCCCACATGTGCGGCCTCTCCCTCAAGGGGAAGGACGCCGTCCCCTTCTCGAGACCCTCGTCGTCGCCGACGTGGCGGGCCTGAAGCCGGGTCGGGGACCCTCACGGTGTTCACCAACGAGCGGGGCGGGCCATCGACGATTCGGTGGTGACCAGGGGCGGAGACGGCCACGTTTACCTGGTGCGTGAACGCCGGCTGCCGGCTGCAGGGACAAGGATCTGGAGCACATCGGGAAGCACATGGAGGCTTTCAAGGCGAAGGGGAAGGACGTCGGCTGGCACGTGCACGACGAGAGGTCGCTGCTCGCGCTCCAGGTAGCTTAAAAGATCCTAACTTTGATTGGTTACATGAGATTTGTAGTGATCGACGTTTGAATTGGGGGCGGGATTCGAACTGTGAGAGTTAATATGCTCTGTGTTAACTGGACGAATATCAATCACATTGAACTACTTAGGTCTGTCCTGCTCGCATTTGCGGGCAGGTTAAGGAAACAAAAGCCGATGAAGACTGTGAAGGGTGTGCTCTTTGGTTGGAGCCCATACAGGAGACTTAGCAGAATAACAGTCGGATGATGTTAGTCTTATAATCTGAGCAGTGTAATGCTTTGAATTTGCAGCGAATTTCACTTGCCATGTTGAAAAACGCGAGAACCAATCGAATTTTTGGCATAAAGTATGGGTGTCAGATACAGACACAACACAATGATCGAATCGTCATCGTAGTGTCTGTGCTGCGTAGGTTCCTGCTTTTTTAATTTTTTGATATGGCCATTTTTGGTACTTCTTTCTGCGGCGTATCAATTCTGATGATTAAGCAGTTTGGGTCTAGTTCTGAATCTTCTGATGTTAGAGACCCTTGTTTTTAATTTTTTGATTAACATGAAATATTCACGGAAATGTGCATGCTCCACACTAAATCCCTTCAAGATTTGAACAACTTCTGAGCAGAATACATTTCTACATATGGTCTTGATGACTGAATTGCTTTCAACTATGTGTGGTCTCAGGGTCCTCTGGCTGCACCAGTTCTTCAGTTGCTGACAAAGGATGATCTAAGTAAATTATATTTTGGTGAGTTTCGGATGCTAGACATCAACGGGTCACACTGTTTCCTCACAAGAACTGGGTATGTTCATAAACCCATCGTCAATTGTTTCTCAGTGAAGCCAATTTGTTAATGTCTATTGAATTGCTGCCTCATGGTCTATACGTTACCTATGGTTTTCTTTAGGAAGTTCTTACAAGCAGGAATTTTAATATAGAGAAATACATTTTTTGTGTCCTTCAAGCTATCAGTACCACCTTACGTATACCAGTCTCAATGTCGTCAAATCTATACGTAAGTATCAGATTATTCCGCATATTTCCTTAATAGAGTGATTTACCAACAACCACTCCTCTAGGAGGGTCTTATATCCATTCAGTTCAGATATGGGTCTGGTATACGCAAGGCATGAGATGAGATTTAGTCCATGTTGGGAAAAAACACAGTTAGGTGCATAAAATGTTAAATAATTCGCGAGTCAAACTACATTGTTCCTTTTGAGTAAGTTTGGTCCGAGTGGATTAATCTAGTCCATTAACACTCTCCAGTATATTCTTGTTCGATGATTGTGAATTATTCTTCTCCTGAACTTTCACAGCTACACTGGTGAAGATGGATTCGAGATCTCTGTCCCCTCAGAGAATGCTTTAGACCTCACCAAAGCAATCCTTGAAAAATCCGAAGGTAAAGTTCGCCTAACAGGGTTAGGCGCACGCGACAGCCTCCGCCTCGAAGCTGGCCTCTGCCTCTACGGTAACGACATGGAGCAGCACATCACGCCAGTAGAAGCCGGTCTCAGCTGGGCGATTGGCAAGCGACGGAGAGCTGAAGGCGGATTCCTGGGTGCCGAAGTGATCCTCAAGCAGCTTCAAGAGGGTCCACAAATCAGACGTGTGGGCCTCTTCTCGTCAGGCCCACCTGCAAGGAGCCATAGCGAGATCTTGAGCTCAAGTGGAGAAAAGCTCGGAGAGGTGACCAGCGGCGGATTTAGCCCGTGCTTGAAGAAGAATATCGCGATGGGGTATGTGAAGTCCGGTAACCATAAGCCAGGGACCGAGGTTAAGGTTGTGGTTCGAGGGAAATCGTACGATGGGGTTGTTACGAAAATGCCATTTGTTCCTACAAAATACTATAAGCCGACTTAAGCGAAGCGAGGAATTGTCTTTTTTACATACATTAGTTCTGATGAATGCTGTTACTTGACATTCCTTTATGTGATGTTACATCTCTTTTTCAAGAGGCTGTGCTTTTGTTTTTCTCCTTCATTTGGACATGAAAGTTACATATTGGAGATTTTCTTGCAACAGGGAGTTCTCATGAGAATTGGGGGATTTGTTATTTGTTTTCTATCAATCAGGGAATAAGAGTGGTAATAAGTGTTTTGTCGTACGGTCTTGCTTTTTTCTGTGGATATCTGATTAATTTCTGAAAGACTTATGCCTCAAAACGTTTTTGTTTTTGTTTTTGTGCATGGTTCAGGGATTTGGGGTACAGGTTTTAGTAGTGAAATTATCTTTCTTGCATGCACAAGTTTTTTCTTTTTTTTTTCCTTTGGCCTTCTTTGATAAGGGGGAAAAAATAATTCTTATTTGTAATATAAATGTGTGTCTGTTCAATGTTAGGATATAGTCATTTGTATCAAAAATTCGAATTGCACCCCCATATGCGATGTTGGAGGCAACTGATACAAGGATTGGTCCCATGTACTATTGTTGGATTGAACTTATTATCTATGTAGTTTTACTGTCATATATAATTTACCAAGTGAGCACATTTTGTGGCAATGGGTTGAATTAAGGAACAAGTAGGCTTGAACATTGAAAAATGTGGTTTTTTAATCAGACGTTATATTCCTTATACATGTATACTTGGTTATTTTTAAGAATTGCACTTGCAAATACGAGATCAGAATGGCAAAATGGTTATATTTTTAAGGATTACACTTGCAATATAAGATCAGAAGGGCAAAATGGGTCTCAATAAGATAATCAATCCATTTACACTGCGGAAAAAAAAAATGAATTGTATATACAATAACACCCACCCCCACACAAAGTGTTTTTCACACTAGATCTCAATATCTAAAATCATATAAAATATTTAAATTTTATATATTACAAAAAAATCTCTTAAAGTCAGTTATTCTAAAGATTTTTACCAGTACATCAAGAGGCACAAAATGAATGGTCTAAATTACAAGGTTTGTTGAATGTTATAACAAGGCCTAATAAAATTGAGTATGAGAGTGATGGAGGATTTATGTTAAGAAGGTGGAGGAAATAGGAAGGAAGATTAGAGTTACGCGTTGTTTGGTACGCGGAAATTGAGTCAAATGAGAATTGAATGGAGGTAGGAATGATATGGAATTGATGTGGGAACGGAATGCTCATTCCCATTCTCATATTTGCGTGTGATTAGATAATTAAGTGGGAATATCTTTAAGAAGGGTATATCCGTAATATATTTTATTATTTTTATTCTCATTTAAGTGAGAATATCAATTCCTTGTTAACTCATTAGGAATAACAATTTACATGTTAAGTGGGAATTGATAAGAAGTGGGAACCGACATTTCTAGCATCTAAAAACACATCATGTTTGGTAAGCATGAATGAGAAGTTAGAATTGTATTTTTTCCCGCATACCAAACGAGGCGTTAGAGTTTTAGGAATCCGAATCACTATTTTAATGTAACCTGGAACCCTACTCAACTTAAATTCCCAACTGTGTAATTAGTTTGACTTACATGGATAACATTACAATAAAACTTGGTTACTATAAAAATTAGAGCACACAGATAATGCGAGATTTATGTTATAAATGTGATTATCCAATTAGCTAACTAAAGTTATAGAGGCTGACATTTTCCTTTGGCTTTTTATGAAAAGCGAAAAAAAATTCTAATGTTAATTTGGGATATAAATAGGTCCATGTCCAACATTAGGATGGATTATATTCGTTTTCTGTCAATACAAAAGTTTGAATATGGCGAATGAGAGGGTATGAAGAAGCTAATAAGAGAAATATGTGACCACTGAATAAAAAAGAAATATAATAATAATAATAAAATAAAAACTCTCAAGTAATATTAATTATGTCCTGATAACATTTCCAAATCACTAAAATGCGTAACTAATGATTTATCATTTAACAACAAGACTGCCTAAAAACTCGTATTAATTAAAAACCAAATTCCAGCACTAAACAGGTCTTAACCATCTAAAATAAAAGTTTCTTAAATTCAACAATATATATAGATCTTCTAAGGAAAAACCTGTTTCCACGTACAATTCATCTGAAGAAACTTCAGAAAATGGATCAAAATATTTTATTCACCGTAATCGCCTAATAGATTCCTAGTGATCTTGTTGTTACTCTTATCATCACCAAACATATATAATTAATCTCACCGGTCAAAAAACAAATTAAACAAAGCACATCGACGGCCGAGATTACAAAATTTTAAATTCTTTGCATATTTTATTATCAGAAATCAAAGGTTTTATTTTAAATAAATAATTTGACCCGGCCCCAAGATTTTCCTGCCAAAATGTCTAACAGCAGCGTAAATTGATAAACCTAAAGTTCCCGCGTATAAGGACACGGATATATAGCTTGATATCAAGGATGCTATTCGAAGAAGAACTCGGTCCATGAATCAAGTTTTCTTTTGCTTAATTAATTAAGTTCAAGAAAAAGGAGGGGAAAAATGCCGAGTCTTTTCTTCTTCGGGTTGATGACCGTCTTCTTCCCGACGCCGCCACCATCTTCAGGCGGCGCCGGAAGAGCACGCGAAGTTGGCGGCGATGAGGGAGATGATCATCACCTCCGGAAAGGACCATGGACACAGTCAGAGGACCGGGTTCTCGCGGATTATGTACGTAAGAATGGACCGGGAAACTGGAACGCAGTGCAGAAGAACACCGGACTGCCGCGTTGTGGTAAGAGTTGTCGTCTACGGTGGACGAACCATCTGCGGCCCGACCTTAAGAAAGGATCTTTCAACGCTGAGGAGGAAGCGAAGATTCATAGTTTGCATGCTGCATTGGGGAATAAGTGGGCTCTAATAGCTAAAGAGGTTGCTTTAATTTTTCTTTTTTTTGCATGCATGTTGCATGAATGTTGTCATGATCAATCGATATATCAATTTGTATATATGAACATTAATAATAGTTATAGGCCAACTATATATTATTGTGAAAAATATAATCAATATGATCATGTTACTGATGTTTTGTTCCTTAGCTTTGCAGTTGCCTGGTCGAACTGATAACGAGATCAAGAACTACTGGAACACGAAAGTGAAACGAGAAAAACGAAGGCATTCTCCTTTTACCCCTTACCCAGAGCTTTCTAGCTCCACTGTCAACTACGCTTCTCCTCATGTGGAGTTCATCCACCAAAACCAATCGCAACATTCCGTGAATCTTGATCCAGCCCAGGCGACATTCTATTCAGATTACTGTTATCCAGCCCTACAGGCACAACAACAACATGGAGGACTGCAAGCGATAGTACCCATGCAAGAAGATTACAGTTCTTGCCTTCAATTACCTGCCCTGGAGTACAGAAATGACTCTCCATGTGCACGCGTCTATTCCCCTCGGCAGCCGCAGTATCCTTATATTTCAAATGGTGACGTCGACGTCGTGGACAATGAGAACTGGGTGCACAGTTATGGAATTCCTCAGTATCCTGAGAACACATTGATTGGAATGACAGGCTCAATAGGTAATTCTTTGTTTAATTGTCAAACTGAAAGTTTGGTAATTTCAATCAAAATATTTTGTTCATGAGTACATATTTCGACAAGTTTTCTCCGCATTGCATCATACTTAGAATTAATAGAATAGCTCTAGTCATGTAATACTTGTGTTCTGCTAATTCCAAATATTAATGTTTCAGAGTTTTTCACATGGTTCTGGCCAAACATGCCGATATCCACGGTCCCCCATCCGCTATCTTCAAAACCAATACTATCGATACAAGTTTTGCATGGATAAACTAAAAAAACCCTTGCACATCTCACATCTCTCAAGAAACCCGAGAACACCGATCACTCAAGAGCTCCAAGAGACCTGTCATCATACTACATCACTCAAAGAACTCTTTAGCACTGACTACTCGAGAGTTCTAAGAGGATCCTCCCTCTCACCAAGAGGATGACTTTCTCAATACCAACACATTCTTTTTTATAGCCTTTCTCCTTTGCTATCTCCAAGGACAAATAAATGTCCATCATAACTCTTGACAAATTCTAAAAACACCCTTCAAACTTTCAATGTACGCACCCTTTAAATTTCCATAGTCCACATGCATTCATCTACCTTGTTTTGAGATTTGGGTAGAATGCCAACAATATAAACTTTTATAGATCCATTCTTCAATACATATTTCAACCATTGTTTTCAACATTTCATCATAAAGCATCTAAAAGTAACTATACTTATCTAGGTTTGTATACTACGAATTCCAAATACGAATTTTGCTCAGAAACTGAGTCAATGAACTAATGTTTCATTCAGATCCAAAATGAACTGTTTAATCAAATTAAGACTTTTATCTCTTTACAGTTTGTTAAAGTAAGAGAGAGTGAGTCTTGGGTAAATTTCCCTTGAGTTGAATATTGAGTGTGCACATATATTTATACAAGTAGAGGAGACTGAGATGTGTTCTAACAACCAATGTGGGACTAAAACCCACTACAATGCACTATTATCAACAGCTCCCCTCAAACTCATGTTGGATCAAACAAAGTGAGTTTGCGTATAAAAAACTAGAACCAATGAACATGTAAGGCCTTTGTGAAGAAATCTGCAAGTTCATCAGCGGATGAGACATGAGGAAGTAGAATTGTCTTGTTCTTGATAACTTGTTGACGGATAAAATGAGCATCAATCTCAATATGTTTGGTCTTCTCATGAAATACTGGATTATTGGCAATCTGGATGGTACTCTTATTATCACAGTAGAGAGGAGTAGGAGTCGTAATAGAAATACTAAAATCACTGAGAATGCGACGAAGATGAATAATCTTTTTAGCTATTGTGGACATTACATGATACTTTGCCTTGGTACTGAAAAGAGCAATAACATCTTGTTTCTTACTCCACCAGAAAATAAGGAAATCACCAAGAAATATATAATAACCTATGATAGACTTCTTGGGAGTGGGATCACCAGCACAATCAGCATCAGAATATGCACAAAGCTCTAACTTGGATGTAGCAAGAAACAGAAGAGAGCGAGTGCTAGTACCCCAGAGATACCGACATCATGAGAGATATCTGGTCAATACCAATATCATGAGAGATATATGGTCAAGAGATGCACAGACAAACCAACTGGCCAACAAGATGTCGATATCGGTTAGGATCAGATAGAGGCTCACCATCAGTAGAGCGAAGTTTGACATTCTGTTGGAGTAGAGTATCGACAGTTGCATCGTCAGTTAGCTCAGCTTGATATAGAATATTCGAGAGATACTTCTGTTAAAACAGTAGTACATCTCGCGAGTCTTGAGAAATTTCTAGACCAAGAAAATATCGAAGAGATCCAAGCTCTTTCATGTGGAACTGTTGTTGCAACTGAGATTTTACGTACTGTATACCATCCACATCATCACCTGTAATAATCATATCATCTAGATAGATGGGTTATAAAACTCTGCCACGCGATGTAGTGCGAACAAACAAAAAAGCATCTTGATGACTTTCCATAAAGCCCGCCTTGAGCATGACATCACGAAAACACTCAAACCAAATACGGGGTGCCTGCTTGAGACCACAAACAGCACGGCAAAGGAGATATACATGTCCCGAAGGAATATTGGACCCCAGAGGTGGTTGCATATATACTATCTCAGATAAAGAGCCATGAAGAAAAGCATTTTTGACATTTATCTGGTATAAGGGCCAACGATGAGCAGTAGCTATCGTAAGTAGAGTACGAATGGTGGACATCTTAGCAACAGGAGCAAAGGTCTCCTCATAATCAATACATTGTTGTTGAGTAAAACCTCGAGCCACTAAACGAGATTTCTGATATTCAATGGTGCCATCAGGACAAAACTTGACCTTATAAACCCATTTACTATCAATAAGAGAGATCACGGGAGGACAAAGAACAACATCCCAGGTATGAGTTTGTCGAAAGGCTTGAAATTCCTCAGCCATGGACTGTCACCACTCTGGAATTTGAGCTGCCTCTTGAAAGGACTTTGGCTCAACGGTAGTATGAATGGAAGCAAGAAAGTTATGAAAGATAAGTGAATGAGAAGTAACCAAAGCATACCGGGCAGGCATGACATGTGGACATTTGCCTCGACGAAGAGCAAGAGAAACCTCAGGCGGGGGAGATGTTGGCACAGGTGCGTAGAGATCAATAATATGTTCTGGAGTGAGAGTTGTGTCCATAGAATATGGATCAGATGGTGAAGGCTCGGGTGAGGAAGAGTCAATAGAAGGAGATGAAGAGATGTCAGGGAGATCTCGAAAGGAAAACTGAGGTGAAGAAGTGGGTGATACAGTTGACGGGGAAGCATGATCAGTAGAGTGGAGGAAATTAAAGTCATCAGAAACAGAATAATATGGAGAATCCTCTTCGAACTGAATATGACGAGATATATAAACTCTACGAGTTGTGGGATCATAACAACGATAACCTCAATGTTCCGAACTAATTCCTAAATAGACACAAGAAACAACCCTGGGAAATAATTTATCACGTTCGTGAGATGACAGAAGAACAAAACATCAACAGCCAAAAACACGGACTAGATCATAACGGGGAGGATGAGTATAAACACGACTATAAGAAGTAGCACCGGAAAGAGAGCTAGATAGAGTGATATTAATAGCATAAGTCATGGTGAGAATAGCCTTAGCCCAGAAACGACAAGAAACAGAGTAAGAAATGAGCATGGATAGAGCGGTATCGAGGATATGACGATGTTTGCATTCAGCAACACTATTTGCTCATGAGTGTAGGGACATGATTGTTGAAAGATAGTCTCATGAGAGGACATGATAGAGTGCATGGTAGAGGATAGGTACTCTTTGGCATAATCAGAATGGAAAACTTTAATACGAGATTGCCATTGAGTGAAAATTATAGCAGTGAAGGCTTGATACGTAGTAAGTACGTTAGAGCGATTGTTAAGTAGGTAAACCCATATAAAACGAGAAAAATCGTCAATAAAACTAACATAATATAAGTAGCTAGATGAAGAAGGCAAATGAGATGGCCCCCAAATACCAGAATGTACTAAATTAAATAAGAAAGTGGATATTGATGTACTCATTTTAAATGGTAAAGTAGTGAATTTAGCTAATTTGCAATCAGTACATGACTCAATACTAAAACTAGATAATACAGGACCAAGTACTCCAGACTGAATAAGACTCTCTAGCCTTTTATTAAACACATGACCAAGATGTCTATGCCATAAATTAGCAGGAAGCGAGGTAGAGGATTTTGACGAACAAACAGAAGCAACAAGAGAACATGGGCGTATAGACTCTGAAAGGTGAAGATATTCAGCTTGTACTTCCTAGGACCCTCCCTAACCATCTTGTTCGTCTGTGGATCCTGCACAATACAAGTATCAGAAAAAAATGGGATAAGCATGACAGCCTTACATAAAAGGCTAATAGAAATTAAATTCAAGCACGATTGAGGAGCCACATAGATGGGACCAAGTGTTAGACGTCCAGATGGATCATTTTGTGGGGGTAATAGAGTCATACTGAATGATGGATAATGGTTGTCCAGCAGCTGTGTAGATAGGGGAAAGAGAAGATGAAGTGAAGACAGAGGATAAAAGTGAGGCATTATAAGTTATATGAAAGGAACAACCAGAGTCAAAAATCCAGAGATCATTCATACCAGAGATCGAAGAATTAGCTGAAGAACCAGCAAAATGCATACCAGAGAGTTGTGCGGCGGATGTAGATGTGATATGTTGAAAAACATCAAGTTGACGGTGAAGACTTTCAATAGCTTGAATAGTAGAGTCTGAAGTAGTAGAAGGTATAGCATTGACCAGTAATCCTGGTGTACGAGAGGGTTAAGACTGAGGAGGTCGCCGACCACGACTAGTACCTGAGGAACGTAACTCAGGATGAAGCTTGAAGCATGTCTCAATGTGGTATCCTTCCTTCTTGCAATATTTGCAAGAGAGCTTAGATCGAGCCTGTGGAGAGAGCATGTGGAGAAGTATGGTTCATAATAGGAGCAGTGACAAGTACAGACAGAACAGTATCGAGTAAAGAGGTAGGAGTGTTTGTTGATAAATTGAGTTATGTTGTCTGATGTCGGGTCTCATAAGCAGTGAGAGCTCCCATAACTGAGGCCAAAGTCAAAAATTAAGGCTGATGAAGTAGTTGATCAGCCATAGTTGAATATTCAGGAAGGGACTAAAACAATTGATGAACCTCGTGTCGTTCGTACCAGGCTAGCTAGTCTTCATATGTGGAATTATGTCCAGGAAGCATGGAGCGTAATTCTGTCCAAAACGCTTGAATTTGTCCAAAATGAGATTGCATAGAGGAACTACCTTTGCATTGTAGAGCAATACGTTGCAGAAGATATGCCTCCCATGCACCAGAGCATTCAGTGAAACGCTCAGTGAGACGAGTCCACATGGCCCGAGCAGAGGGAAGAGAACCAATCTCGACAGTGAGACCAGAGCTAACACAGCGAGTAAGATAATCCATGACACAAAATTCCTG